TGGGCGGGGGGGGGGGCACGGGTCACAAATGCACACTCAAGACAGATTTGCTGGTACCAACATGTCGCCGAAACGTAGTATGCTGTCAAACGTTACTTCAAAGGTTGGATGAGTCAGAGATAGGACAGGATTTGTCTTCAAATGCTGTTATGGGGATATGGGTTATATCATATCCTGCTGTATGACAACTGTGAGTAAATGGGTTTCAATGTGTCCATTGAAGTGTATCAAATGTGTCGAGGTCCAGTGGTTTACTAAGAAGTGAATACGTAATGGTCTAGGAGTGTTGATCAAAAGGTGATCTAAACAACAGATACATTTACTACAACGCGGGATGTGGCCAAAAAGAAATAGGACAAGTGTGGAAAACTGATTGAATGTTGAACTACCTGGTGTGATGAATTATTTCAAATTGGTTGATCTTTACAATCAGTGTAATGGGTAATCGCTGCTTCGCTTTTGAGCCTGCCAGCTGGTTTTCACCGCCATTACTTGTGCACATTTGCTAAACATCATTCAGTCTGGCACGGGTTCACCTTTTTGACGAAGTTTATCTTCTAACTTTCAACAGGAACGTAACTTGATCATACACGCCGCATCAGACGGTTCGACGATATCCGTCGTGCGTTCCGCTCCTCACAAAGGACCTCCTCAAGGGATTAAAAGGCTCCCGTTTGGTAGCCTGTTCTGCGCCTATTCGGAGCGAGCTGTTCGCGTTCACAATTGGAGAGTAAGTTTTTTGGTAATTATTGATAAATGACTATCGGTCTCTTTGTAAGCCACCAGGAATACGAATTTCTTCGTAACAGATAAATCTAACAGCCAACTGTAGAGTTCTAGTAATAGCGATATGGGCGATTTAATGGTCCTCGATATAGTGTCAACGTGGTATAAATACCACGAGAAAGTATCATAAGCACCATTCAGTTGTTTCATCCTTCCTCCGAATCCGTAGTGGATTCAACGACTCAAACCAGTTGAATATGGTATAGTGCCCATCAGTTACTACAATCCAGTGGAGTATCGTTTTCTAGACAGAATTCGGTTTCTGAATCATTTTTGAGTATGAAAAACTTTACCATTTTTAGTAGTCTCTATCTGAGTTGTTTCTAATCATCGTGCTTCAGTATTTGCGAACAAGGAGGACATCTTGCGTTCAGAGTGTATGCAGGAAATGTAACCATGAATTTCTTTCCCGTTCTCGATTTTTCAGACCGGCACTGGTGTGATGACGTTGCAGACGTCGAAAGTGACCAGCTCTTGTGTTACAGAGCGGTACCTGGCACTGGGTGATTCCGAAGGCACAGTTCGTGTGCATAAATTCGTGGTACATTTCTCTTTATGGTTGCTTGTCATTGATGCGCAAAATTGTACGATCAGAATTGAATTTATAGCATGTTTAGTAGTTGTTTTTTTTCCGGGTGTATAGCTTTACGTTTAGTGTTCCGGTGCCAGCGATGAACTCCATAAATGCAGATAACTTGTGTGCGTCTAGAGTAATGTGATGTATTCCTCTTGGATCTCGAGTTCTGGAATAGCGCAAAAGAGAAATAGATGGGACGTGCTACTGAACCGAACATCAGATGAGGAGGCTATTTGTCAGCAATCGGGTGGTGCCTGAACTCGTACCTCGTGGACTTTAATCATTGACTTTACGTCGCTCGTTACCTGCGTAGCAGCTATACATGAACTGCATTGATCCGTAAACATGCAGTTTGGTTGAAGAATGCCTGCGCTGCTGTACGATCACTTCAGTTGCTGTATTTTCGTCCCTTTATTCACGTATTCAATTTTTCATTTACCTTCCTCAGACTTTCACACCAGTTATTCAATATAATTGATTAATTTGATATCCAACAGATGGACAGTTGATAAACAGGAGGGGATTGTAACTAGTTATAAACCATTTGAAGAAATGTGATTGTTGGCAAGATACGAACACACGACCAATGAACCGCTAAACTAATGGACAATGGCTTATGGAATAATTTTTCTCATGCGATTTGCGCCGCATCGTTTCCGTTTCACTGTTGTTATTTTTCGCGTATGTATGACAAATATTTAATACTTTTCCGTCTCCCTCTTTCTAGCATAATGGCTTGCCTCATGGTCGTCCGATGAAAGTGTACTTTGCAACAAGCCGTGCCGCAATCACCTCGTTAGTGGGCTGTGGGGAAGCAGTAAGTGAATCGAGGATCATTGGTACTGACTTACGACGAGTATTGTTTATACTTGGACAACCTAGGTTCCGGGTTCGACCCCCAACCAGGTCGAAACCGCTGTCCGGTGATTCATAGCTTTTCTTGTTGTTCACACGTCAAAATCCACCGTATTATCAAACCAAATCCTCCACTACTATGATGTACTATGTTTTTTAAATACTGATCAGCACAATTCCTAGTTTCCCTTCAAAAGTAATAACTTGCGCTGCCTATCGAGGTCCGCGTTTTTTAACCTTCCTCCTGCATAGTCGTTCGGTGCAATTCAACGATTCCTATCCCAACAAACAAACGGCGATGACAAGTTTCCGGTTTATTTTTTAATTGAACTATAAATACCTACACAAACCATCACCTTCTTTCATCTGTCTCAGATTATCCTGTACTTTTTTTCATACAGCTTATCGCTGGCAGTCTTGATGGCACAGTGACGACAATATGGGTGAATGAGCCCGCCAATAACCACATTTGTCTGGTATGTTCCGTTGCTTCTACTCCCAATAATGCTGTCTATACGCGACGCACGTATGATAACTTTTGAACCAAGATCCTCGTGGCTAATTGCAGGTTAACTATATACCACATACCTGCATCGCCCAGTCGTGTGAGATAATCTTGTACGGCTCATATTTGTTTCTTTATGCGCGTCTAATTGGACGACAAACATTCCCGATATTCGTTTTTTTGTTTGTTTTTGTTCACCCAATGAATAAAGTATGGCCCATTCGGACATAACTGCGGCATTGGATTTGAGAGTCGAGAAGATCTCATCAAGCATGTAATGGACACGCATTTCATTTTTGGCAACAACAAATCTATCATGTGCCGATGGGGTGGTGGACGATGTCGGGTTCGCTTCAGCGATACAAAGAGTATCAAGGTCAGTACATGCTTTCCGGGGTTCGGTTGATTGCTTTCAACGGATTGCCACGTAATGCATTGTGGTTTGATCAGCCTATCCTTGATATTTAGTTTTTCGTAACAGAAAAAGTGTTTTACCCAACCCGCTTGAGCTTCTCATCAGCAAGCCAGTCTCACAAGTGAGGTTGTTGCAAGGATATATATTTATATTTAAACGGAAAACGGTCTGGTCGGTGGTTGAGGGGGGAGTATGCTTGCTTTCTATCTGGTCCCGGGTTCAGTAGATCCACAGAGCGGACAAAACCCAATTAGGTCGAAACAGCTGTACCGTGTACCCTAGCCTTTTGATTTCAAGCTTTTGCTCTATACACGACGATATGCAAGCAGACTACTCCACGCATGAAAATCGCTTGATTCCCGATATCAGTGGCTACAGAGCTCATCGGGTTACCATTTTACAACACTTGTGTTACGCGTTCACTCCCCTAACAACCAATCTTATAAATATAGTATTGCATTTGTA